TACCTCACTCAGGATGATCTTTTCTAGATCCCACCATTTGCCTGAAAATTTCATGATTTCCTTGTTTTTAATTGCTGAGTAGTATTCCATTGTGTACGTGTACCACACTTTCTGTATCCATTCCTCTGTTGAGGGACATCTGGGTTGTTTCTAGATTCTGACTATTATGAATAGAGCTGCTATAAACATGGTTGAGAAAATGTCCTTACTGAATGGTTGGGTACCTTTTGGGCATATTGCTAGGAGTGGTATAGCTGGATTTTGAGGAAGTACTATTCCTAATTTTCTGACGAAGTGCCAGATTGATTTTCAAAGTGGTTGTTCAAGGTTACATTCCCACCAGCAATGGAGGAGGGTTCCCCTTTCTCTACATCCTCTCCAGCATGTGTTGTCACTTTACTTTTTGATCTTAGCCATTCTGATGAGTGTAAGGTGAAATCTCAGGCTCATTTTGATTTGCATCTCCTTAATGACTAATGATGTTGAGCCTTTTTTCAGTGTTTCTCTGCCATTTGCTATTCTTCTGTTGAGAATTCTCTGTTTAGCTCTGTGCCCCATTTTTTAAATTGGATTACTTGATTTGTTGCTGTATAACTTCTTGAGTTCTTTATATATTCTGGATATTAGCCCTCTGTCAGATATAGAGTTGATGAAGATCCTTTCCCAGTCTGTAGGCTGTTGTTTTGTTCTGATGACAGTGTCCTTTGATTTATAGAACCTTTTCAGTTTCATGAGGTCCCATTTATTAATTGTTGATCTTAGAGTCTGTGCTGTTGGTGTTCTGTTCAGGAAGTTATCTCCTGTACCAACGAGGTCAAGGCTCTTCCCCACTTTCTCTCTTCTAATAGATTTAGTGTGTCTGGTTTTATGTTAAGGTCTTTGATCTACTTGTACTTTAAATTTGTGCAAGATGATAAATATGGGTTTATTTGCATTTTTCTACATGTAGACAACCAGTTGGACCAGCACCATTTGTTGAAGATGCTGTCTTTTTTCCATTGTATGGTTTTGGCTTCTTTGTTGAAAGTTGTTTCCATAGGTGTGTGGGTTTATTTCTGGATCTTCTATTCCATTCCATTGATCCACCATTCTGATTCTATGCCAGCACCATGCCATTTTTATTACTGTTGCTCTATAGTACAGCCTGAGATCTGGGATGGAGATACCTCCAGAAGATCTTTTATTGTACAGGATTGTTTTAGCTATTCTGGGTTGTTGTTTTTTTTTTTTTTTTCCATATGAAACTGAGAATGGTTCTTTCAAGGTCTATAAAAAACATGTTGGTAATTTGATGGGAATTGCATTGAATCTGTAGATTGCTTTTGGTAAGATGGCCATTTTTACTATGTTAATCCTACTGATCCATGAACACAGGAAATCTTTCCATCTTCTGATATCTTCTTCAATTTCTCTCTTCAGAGACTTGAAGTTTTTTTCAAACAGGTCTTTCACTTGCTTTGTTAGAGTTACACCAAGGTACTTTATGTTATTTGTGGCTATTGTGAAGGGTGTTGTTTCCCTAATTCTTTCTCAGCCCATTTGTTTTTTGTATACAGGAAGGCTTCAGATTCTTTTAGAGTTAATTTTGTATCCAGCCACTTTGCTGAAGGTGTTTATCAGCTGGAGGAGTTCTCTGGTTGAATTTTTGGGGTCGCTCATGTATACTATCATATCATCTGCAAATAGTGATACTTTGACCTCTTCCTTTCCGATTTGTATCCCTTTGATCTCCTTTAGTTGTCTTATTGCTCTAGCTAGGACTTCAAGAACTCTTTTGAAGAGATAAGGAGAGAGTGGGCAGCCTTGCCTTATCCCTGATTTCAGTGGGATTGATTTAAGTTTCTCTCTGTTTAGTTTGATGTTGGCTAAAAGCTTGCTGTATATTGCTTTTACTAAGTTTAGGTATGTGTCTTGTATCCCTGATCTCTCCAAAACTTTAAACATGAACGGGTGTTGAATTTTGTCAAACGCTTTTTTGGCATCCAAGAAGATTATCATGTGGTTTTTCCTTTCAGTTTGTTTATATGGTGGATTACATTAATGGATTTCCGTATGTTGAACCATCCCTACATTCCTGGGATGAAGCCTGCTTGGTCATGGTGGATGATATTTTTAATGTGTTCTTGGATTTGGTTTGTGAGTGTTTTATTGAGTGTTTTTGCATCAATGTAAATAAGTGAGCTTGGTCTGAAGTTCTCTTTCTTTGTTGAGTTTTTGGTTTATATGTCAAGGTGACAGTGGCCTCATAGAATGAGTTTGATAATGTTCCTTCTGTTTCTAGTTTGTGGAATAGTTTGAAGAGTATTGGTGTTAGTGCTTCTTTGATGGTCTGATAGAACTCTGCACTGAAACTGTCTGGCCCTGGGCTTTTTTTTGGATGGGAGACTTTTGGTGACAGCTTCTATTTCCTTAGGGGATATAGGATTATTTAATTTATTTCACTGATCTTGATTCAGCTTTCGTAAATTGAATCTATCAAGAAAATTGTCCATTTCATTTACATTTTCAAATTTTCTTGCCTATAGGCTTTTGAAGAAGGACCTAATGATTACTTGGATTTCCTCAGTGTCTGTTGTTATGTCCTCCTTTTAATTTCTATTTTGTTGATTTAGACAGTGTCCCTCTGCCTTTTAGTTTGGCTAAGGATATGTCTGTCTTGTTGATTTTCTCAAAGGACCAGCCCTTGGTTTCATTGATTCTTTGAATTGTCCTCTGTTTCTAATGTATTGATTTCAGCCCTGAGTTTGATTATTTCCAGCTGTCTACTCATCTTGGGTGTATCTGCTCCTTTTTTTTTTTTTCTATTGCTTTCAGGTGTGCCATTAAGTTGCTTATATGAGATGCCTCAAATTTCTTTCTTTTTTGTTTTTTTTAATTTAAATTTATTTATCTATTATTAATTACAGTTTATTCACTTTGTATCCCAGCTATAACTCCTTCCGTTTTCCCCTTCCAATCCCACCTTTCCTCCTTCATCTCCTCCCATGCCCCTCCCCAAGTCGACTGATAGGAGAGGTCCTCCTACCCTTCCCCTGACCCTGAAGGCACTTAGTACTATGAACTTTCCTTTTAGCACTGCTTTCATTGTGTCCCATAAGTTAGGATAAGTTGTGCCTTCATTTTCATTAAGCTCCAGGAAATCTTTAATTTCTCTCTTATTTTCTCCCTGACCCAGGTGTCATTGAGTAGAGGGTTGTTCAGTTTCCGTATGTGTGTACGCTTTTTGTTATTTCTGTTATTGTTGAGGTCTAGTTTTAGACCATGATGATCTGATGTGATAGAGGGGATCATTTCAGTCTTGTTGTATCTGTTGAGGCTTGCTTTGTGCCCAATTATATGGTCAGTTTTGGAGAAGGTTGCTGAGAAGGTATACTCTTTTGTGTTTGGGTGAAAGGTTCTGTAGTCATCTATTAGATCCATTTGATGTATGACTTCTATATTTTCAAAATGTCTTGATTTTTAAATTTTCTTTGTTCTTCATTATGAAGATGCACAGAATTCTTATGATGTTAAACCATGAAATTTGGGACTAATCTGAATCTGTATTCCTGAACCATGAATCACTCATAATTGTCTCTAAATTAAGTCTCATCTTCTCTGAGGCGAGGAGTGTGCTTTGTTATTGACTACAAATCTATAATAATGAGAAAGTGTCCTCTTAGTGAAGGAATAGACATGTAAACAAACGGAACAGACTAGAAAGCCCAGAGAAATGTACCTTTAGACAACTGATCTTTTAGAAAAGACTTATTTTATTTAATTAATTTATTTACTTGTATTACTCACGTGTATAAGTGTTTGCCGTGTGTGTGCTGGTTCCAGTAAGAACCAGGAGTCAGATGTCATGAGTGTGAGTACTGGGATTGAACTTGGGTCTCCTAGAATGCTGCGCAACTTTTGAGCTGTCTCGCTAGATCTTAGTCAACCGATCTAGGAGTCAGGGTTTTGCAACAACAAGAATCATTTCAGAAAATGTTAGAAAACCATCACAACTGTATGCAAAAACAAATAAGTTAGATTCAAATGGCTATGGTTTGAATGTGTCCTCTAAAATTTACAGGCTGGAGATTAACCCCCCTTGCAACAGCTAGGAGGGCAACTCCTGACCAGAAGTACGTAGGCCACCAGAGCGCCTCTGTGTGAACATACCGCCACTTCAAAGGGGCCCGTAAGGCCAGGCCTTGCCCTTTCCATGTCTCTGTCCTTCTTCCTTGTGATGGCCATGCGGCAAGAGCAGACTTTCCAGACGAGGCAATTTCGTCTCAAACTCTCCTGTCTCCAGAAGGGTGGGAAATAAATCCCCACCATGTTAAAAATACCTGCAAGTAAGCAGCGAGCAATCTGATCCGATACAAACGTTACACCCTTCAAAAGGATCACAGGTTATACATAAAGGACAGATCAAAACACTGCAAAAGACAACAGAAGAGAAATTTTTTATGGCCCCGGGTTTACTAGTGACTGAATACACTAAAGGCCCGGCGTATGAACCATAAGGGTTGAAAGATGAACTTCATTAAAATTTAAAAAATGCTCTGCCAAAGACATCGTTCAGAAAATAAAAAGATAAGACACAGACAAGGGAACAATATATGTATGAGGCATAACTATTAAAGAACTATTATTTAAAATGCACAAAGAATGATTTAAAATAAAAACACAAAAGCAGCAGGACTGAAACTCAAATGTGAAGAGAACAAGAGTCAGGACGGAAGGACGTCTGGGGCATGATTCGAACCCTCGACGGCTGGGGAGAGAAAACCCACCGGAAGCGGTGAAATGATAGGCCACCCCCTGAGGAACCAGCGCGCTGCAGGCGGTGTGCGGGGAAGCTGGGTCGGCTCCAAATGCTGTCATACAGGGTCTTAAACGGCAGCGTAGCGTGTGCACGCCTTTCTGTGTGCAGTCATGGGATCTTCACCGGTGAGATGCCTAAACGTGACCGTCTCTGATTAAGATCTCAGAGAAACTCTCACCCGGACGTTTGCTTCCGTTCGCAGGTCGGACGTGGCCATCCTGTACAACGACCGCTCGGTGCTTGAGAATCACCACGTCAGCGCCGCCTATCGGCTTCTGCAAGAGGAGGAGATGAATATTTTGGCAAATTTACCTAAAGATGACTGGAGGTGAGTTTCAGTGTAAGCTGTGCTGTCGCTGTGAGGGGTGAAGGAAGCCCTGGTCTCCCCACTTCAAACTCAGCGCCCCTGACTCGACGCTGCCTCTGTTGCTGCTTTTGCCCACATGGAGTCTTACATCAATGCAGCATCATTCTCTCCTATTTCTAGTGTTTTGCTATATATGGAGCTTAGCTTTAAAGAGATGAAAAATAAAAACCCCTCATCTGCTTGAGCAAAACTTACAACTGTACTAAAATGACCCACAGTGAAGAGGAAAATACTTCATTCTCCTCCTAGGGGTATTACGTATAATACTAACTTTCACTGTCTAGCCTTTGAATTATCTTTTTTTTTTCCTTTCTCAAAGTTAAGTCCTGTTATCTTAGAATGAATTCATCTATTTTATTTTCTTTCTTTGTCATAATATTTTATGTTTCTCCTCATTAGCTCTCCTGGTTGGACTCTTTTGTATCATTGTGTTAACAAATGGTACAATAATGACACAGATTGTAAATTTTAATAGATTCATTGCTTTAAAACTACCAACAAGATACCTACTTACTGATAAAACACCAATAAAAGTTTACTGAACATTAAAATTTGGTTATCTTGTTAAAGGCCTGTAATTTTTCTGCCTCAAATCATTTTAGTTTTTTAATTACAAAAGTGCATTGTTTTTTTATAAAAGTATTTCACACATTAACTTATTTTTCTTTTGTCTAATATTTAGCCTAGTTCATCAATATATCTTCTAGAGTTTATTAAGTATTTAAATGGAAGGCGTAGCATATTTATTACATCATGTAGATTTCACAGTTTTTGTCTTAATTCTCTTATTTAACAAATATTGTGTCCAGTTGAAATTTTGATGTGAATATTCTTTTAAATTTTCATTTAAAAACTGTGATTGGAAATAATTTTGTTAACTACCTCCAATTTCTTTATTTCCCTGAATACTTGGGTAAATTATTCTGAGCAGGTTGCCCAGAATTATAATAGCAGAATACTGAGTTCTTGTCTCTTTCATCTAAAATAAGGTTGAATTGGGCACCTGTAATTTTCAGTAAAAAAAAAAAAAAAAAAAAAAAAAAATCTAATATGTTGCCTTAAAAATAAACCATCTTTTATGGAAAATATTTGTGTGGTGGGGGAGTAGAGTCTGAGACAAGCTTTCTCTGAGTAGCCCCAGCGGTCCTGGAATTTGCTCTGTAGACAAGGTTGGCCTTGAACTCGGAGATCTGCCTGCCTCTGCCTCTCAAGTGCTAGAATCAAAGGTGTGCGCCACCACTGCCCGGCTAAAAAAAATAATTTGATTCAAAATCATAGTTCAAGTCATTCCATGCCTTGCTTTAATTTATAATACTGCCCCCATAGTGAAAACAAAATAGAGTTGACTTGTTTACTGTCTATACAAGCCTTTGCTAGGATGACTCAGTTCTCTGCTCAGAGTGAGAATGTGTTACTCAGACATAGGCTCTGTGATATGGCTACTGTATTTACGCTGCAGCATCTTGGTTGAAAGTTTAAATAGTGCCAGTGGATATGTCTGTGTTTCACAGGATCCAGTTCCCAAACGTATACATGCCCACCCCCACTAGCATCTGGTTTCCCTGAGGACTGTTGAGCACTGCGGCCCAGAGGCCAGCTTTTGGAGCAGGGATTCTGGCTGACTCTTGTCTTCCTGACTGAGCACATGAAATCTCCTCCAGAGGGAACTTTCTCTAACCCTCTGCAGGTCCACCGTGGCAGTTAAATGTTTAGTGTGCTGACAAAGGCATCACTACATAGCCCTAACACAGGCTGTGTACATACTAGTGACCCTATGTCCAACAGTTTCATTTAAGCAATGTAAAATGGGGAAAGTGCAGGAAAGACCTCGAGAATCTGTGCTCCTTTATGTCCCTTTCCCGGGGCACACGTAGATTGAGGACATTCTTAAGTGCCTATACATGCACTAAAGTGTGTGCCATGCAGCTGCACGGACCTTAGTTCAGTCTCTAGAACCCATGTGAAAAATGCCAGGTGTGTTGGAACATGCCTGAGATCCCAGCCATGGGAGGCAAAGACAGGGAGCTCTCTGGGATTTGCTGGCTACCTACCCAATAAGCCTAACCTTACTGTCAAGCTCCAAGTCTGTGAAAAACCTTGTTTTAAAAAACAATGAGGTCAGTACCTCATTGACTTCTGACCTCCACAAAAATGTACACACGTGGGCATGCACATCTACATGCATAAGCACACACACATAATACATATTTTTCAAATAGAAAAAACAACAACAAAACTTAACAATTATGATTAGGAAGAAATGTGGCCCGCAAAAGGAGCATATCTCATTTTTTAAGGAGAATGTCAGCGGGCATGCCTTTTTCAAATTAGGAGTGTCGATGATTAAAATAATGTCCAACTTTTGTGATCACTGTTGCATTTAAAAGGCGGTGGCTCTGTGTTCACAATTGTTAGGAAAAATAGTGTGATTGTATTTACAGAAATGCCCTTTGCTTGGCCCTCCAAGCTCAGGAAGACTCCAATGAGCTGTTCTGCTTTTGATGCCCCTTGCAGGGATCTTCGGAACTTAGTGATTGAGATGGTGTTAGCTACAGACATGTCAGGCCATTTCCAGCAGATTAAAAACATAAGGAGCAGCTTGCAGCAGCCTGAAGGGTATGTTACTCTCTTTTGTCATGCTGAAGCTCTGTGGGCTTGGGCTCAGAAAACGCTAGGAGGTTACTTTTGTTCTGTTAATTTGAGCATGTCTTTGGTTTGGCAGGATTGACAGAGCCAAAACTATGTCCCTGATACTCCACGCCGCCGACATCAGCCATCCAGCCAAGATGTGGAAGCTGCATTACCGGTGGACCATGTCCCTAATGGAGGAGTTCTTCCTGCAGGTGCCTCTCGCTCTGTTTCAAACAGCAAGTGTGGATGTTGACACAACTGTCCTCAGCAGAGTCAGGGCCTCTGACCTAACTTTCCCGTTAGCCACAGCCCACAGTTAGGGCACTTGGGAGAATTTAGTAATGTTTTAGGTAAAAACATTAGATAATCCAAAATAGTATTAAATGTCTTCTAAAGAGAGCAATGGCATAGTTAAGAGGATGTGCCAGTCAGGGAAGAAAGGCATAGAACAGCGGGTTAGAATTATTATGACGTTAAGAGGCAAGTCTGAGAGCAGAGAAAGCAAACAGCTTGCACAATGAAAAATGCAAAGGGGGTTGGTGACACACCACCTCCAAATTTTATATCTTCCTGCTCACAGCTTACCTCCATGCATAGCTGCAGAGGAGGCTGAGGAAGAGGTAGCCAAGCAGACACCTGCCGAACTGAACAAGTGCAAGCCGGAGGAGGGGCGCCCTGTCCTCTGCTGCAGGGATTTATCTACCGGTTTTTTCTGCTGTGGCCTCCCTGCTCTGGCATCTCTGCCTCTGAAGCTGGGGTGCTGTAACATAACTGTGATGGTAATCACCCAAGGTTGGCTTCAACTCCACAAGTCAGAGGCACGCTCTGCCAAAAGATGGTCTCCACTTCAGACTTCAGTCCCAAGTGGAGCCGTAGGACAGAAAGGTTCATGTCTGACCAGTTAGTTACAAATTAGGATCCATTCTAGAGTTGGTGATTTATTAGTCCATAGAGCTCAGGGCCAGTACTGACAATTGGAACTCTGTCATAAAGGATGAAATCCAGCAATAGCCAGATAAAGCAGCTAAGAAAGGGACCAGGCCTGTCCCAAGCATGCGTATCTATGGTCTCTAGGTGGAGTTGAGCCATGTCAACTCCTGGATGAAGAATATGAACCTGAAATCTCCTGTGAACTTCCGTGTCCACAGTATTATGAACTTTACTACCTAGGTATGAAACACTTTCAAACATATTAAATGAATGATCATAAAACCACAGCACAGGCGATCTGTTGGGTACCATCAAGTCTCTACTCAGGGGACATTTTGTAGCATCATACAATTTTTTTATTTAAAAAGACCAAAAGTATAAGACCAAGGATCGGTTTCTACCTTAAGAATGTAGGTGAAATTTAAGAAAACTGAGCTAAAATAAGTTGAGAGGAACAGGTAATAAATATAAAACAGATTAGTAAACAGAGCGGACAGAAAAACATTACTTAAAAGTAATTTTATCACTCCCTCCTTTATTAATTACTCCTTAAAGGTAATTAATAAAGGAGGGAGTAACATACATAGGAGATGGGTTATTATTATGGAGCTTATATGTGGCAAAAGGATACAAAATAGTGTGAACAGTCTATGCCAATAATATTGATAAAAGAAATAAAATTGCCTAATTCTTCAAGAAAGATAAAAATTACCAACCTAGACAATAAGACAAAGCAACAATGAATATGCTCTAATTATAATATAATTCCACATAAGAAAACCCAGGATTTGCGGTAGGAAGATGGCTCAAGAGTGAAGAGCACTGGCTGTTTTTCCAGAGGAAGGTTTGGATCTGCGTTCAGTTCTCAGCACGCACATGGCCACTCACAACATCTGAAACTCCAGTCCCAGGGGATCTGACGCCCTCTGTGGGCATGGAGCGTACCTGCATTACACAGACACAGACACAGGCAAAGCACCCATGCTCATAAAATCAATTAATTCTTAAAACATGAAAACCCAGGATTAGATATCTCCATTTTTTAAATTTTAATTTCAATTCCCATTATTTAATTCAGTTGAGAAATATTAATTTTCTCAAGAATTGTAAGACAGAAATAATGTCAGTTTTACACAAATTTTTCATGATACAGGAAGAAGAAAATTGGCAGCATGTCGCTTATAAAACCTGACAAAGATGTTTCAAATAAAGGAAATTATAACCCACATCTGTCATGAATCTAGATGGGGAAACTCTTAAAATATTAGCAAGTCAAATCCATAACATTGTAAAAGAATAAATAGCAGAGCTTGAGCAAGCATCTCAAATATTTTTTTTTAATTTTACTGGACTATATTAAAAGAATAAAAGGGGAAAAAATCACATTGGCATACCAGTAGATTCACAGAATGCATTTGACAAGATTCAACATTTTAATTACACAAACTCCAGGCAGACTAATTAGTCTAATAAAAGGTCAAAGGGTCACAACTAATGCAACACTCCAAAGGGAAATACAGAACATGTTTATGCTAAGATCAGAATATCAGCTGTTTCGTATGAAGCCCTAATCAGTACAGAGAAGTACAGAAAGGAAGTAATAAGTAGAGTGGAGGAAATAAAACAGACTTCATATGCAGACAAAACTGGTAAAACAACACTCGGTTTTACAGGGTTTTGGGATCAATTGTAGTTCTGTACACAAGCAAAACAATTTGAACATTAAGTTTAGCCTTCCTGGCGGCTACAACCTCCCTGCCAGAACATGCCTCTTGCAAAGGATCTCTTTCACCCCTCCACAGAAGACGAGAAGCAGAAACACAAGCAAAAGCTCCGGTGCAGAGCCCTGGTTCCTGCTTCAACCGTGGAATGCCCAGGGTGCTCTCAAATCACCTCGGCCTTTAGCCTCGCACAAGTGCCGTTCTTGTGTGTTGGCTGCTCTGCTGTGCTCTGTCAGCCGACAGGAGGCAAAGCAAGGCTGACAGAAGGAGGTTCCACTTGAAGATGAGTGGGAACCCACAAACACATTTTGGATAGAAAAAAGAAAAACACAGAAAATTAAGCTTAAAGCATAATGTTACTTCTGAGAGCACAAAACAAAGCATTAAAGATTTATTTAGCTAAATGCATGCAAAACCACCACAAGGAAAACCAGAAAATTTTAATAGCGCGCGCACGCGCGCGCGCACACACACACACACACACACGTATGTTCAAACAGACACAGATTGGGGATGAAAGTTTTATTATATTTACAAGTTACAGCCATTATCAGGGGAAGCCAGGGCAGAAACTGAAGTAGGGACACTCGTTATGAGATCGCGCTCCATGCCCTGCTCAGCTTAGTGTGGGGCTGCACCCTCTCTCATCCGCCATTAATCAAGAAATGGCTCCACAGTGGTGCCCACAGGCCAGCTGGCTGGAGACATCCTCTCAGTTGAGGTGTGCTCCTCCCCATGACCAAAACTTGTGTGGAGTTGACAAATGCTAGGCAGAACAATGGTTCAGAAGGTTCAGTATTACTAAGACAATTCTTTCAAAATCGATTAGCATGTTTGGGATTATGTTATGAAAAATCTTAGCAGCCCTGTTTGTAGAAGCTAGAACTCTGGTCCTGCAGTACAAATGGAAATGCATGAACCTAAAGTAGCCATGGCAGTTCTGTAAGAGACTAAAGAAGCTGGAGCATCCCCTACCCCACATTACATAGTTAGCTTTTCTATAGTCACTCATTGGCATATAATCAGAAAATGGATCAATGCAATCTGACAGTAACTCCAGAAATAAGGCTACACACGTGTGGTCATGTGACTTCTTCATAGACACCAAGGCAAATAATCTGTAAAGACTTTCCACCATGCAGATGCAACAAACACCAAATAGTGGGGCAGTAAGCAATTTTTCCTTTATTATTAGTATTTTTTAGTAAGATTTGTGTTTGTGAGTGTTTGCCATGTGTTTGTGCTCTTCAAGGCCACAGGCTGATATCCCGTCATCCCATCCCCCTACTCTCAGATATCCTTCAGATGGAATTCTTGCTCTATTTAAATTTTTTGTCTATTAGTTTCCTTTTGGTTTGTTTTTGCTTTTTTGTTTGTTTCTGTTTGAGACAGGGTCTCGCACTGTAGTGCATCCTGGCGTAGAACTCATTTCATAGCCTAGGTTAGCTCTGAACTTAAGTCATTCTGTCTGCTTGAGCTGGCATTCAAGGCATGTGCTGCCTCATCTGACCGTTAATTGGTGTTGAGCAAAGTTAGACAGTGAATATAAACATGAACTATCTTCCTCAACTCAAGCAGCTGTCTTCCTGTCTTTGGTCAGCTGCCTCAAGTTTATCCTTTTATCCAGGAGGAAAGTGGCCAGAGGAGCCCTTGCAAGGTCCTGAGAAACACAAGTCCTCATCTCCAAGGCACACCTTGTCATATTTATCAGTGCATATAGCATCATTTCTTTGAGTGTTTAACAAGTCGACACAGGAGCTTTTGACTAGAATAAATATATCCGGAAGATGCTCCATCATTTCAACTGTGGCTGGCAAAAAAAGACAGAGGTACCAGCCAAATGATAACAACAAAAATAAGACAGATTCATACCTCTGTTTCTCTTCTTGGACACATGCTAGTTGGCATAATGAGAAGTTAACATAATTAAATTTAAAAATAACTATTTTCATTAGTTTTTTTTCACTATGAACACAAGGAATAAATGAATATTTTTCTTTTCAGTGCAGTCTTTTATGACACACAGAAACAACCTCAATTTAGTAAAAATTGAAATCTGTTAGGCAATATTGTCTTATAAGTCAGAGAGAAACAAATGGTTTGAAAAGTAGGTTATCAGTAATGAAAAGACAGAGGGATGAATTTTCATCACTAAGTTGTGTCTCGCCAAGCCCCCATTTTCTTTAATATCGCTAGATGTCATATAAAGTATGATCTTTCAAAGTAAATTTTGTTTCCCGCACTATAAAAATTTCACTCAGTCAATCCACTCTCAGCCAAAGATCTGGCACCAATGGAAATTATAGATATGGCCTCCCAAATGAAATGAACATAAAGAACTTTAGCTGGAAATGCTGAAATCCGAGCCAGTTCCAAGAGCTGAGGAAGCACTGTGAGCTGCAGTTACACAGTGAGCCTAACGTTTGGCAGACCGGTCTTGGCGATTGCATTCTCCTGCAAACACAGCCTAGTACAGATGTGGCAGTTGCCACAGCCGTTGAAGGTGCCATCTGTTTGGGTGAGTTTGTGAGGACTTTTTAGGGCCACTTCTAGAAAGACTGAAGGAAGGCGGAGGTCACTGTGTGGAGGTCACTCCTACACAAGCTGTCCAGAGATGACGCCACCTCACCTTCGTGTCAGCTTACCTATAGGCCCTGTGCTTGCTGGCTAGTGCTGGCTGGCCAGCTCTCCCTCACTGAGCTCCCTCACCGTGCTCCCTCACCTGTGCTTCCTCATCAATGCTCCCTCACCATGCTCCCTCGCCGTGCTCCCTCTCCTAGCCCTGGGCCTGGCAGTGGTCTGAACCTTAACTGACAGTACCCTTGAGACTCAGACCCGGGTCTCGTCTTGGCGCAGAAGGTGACATAAGTAAGTGTGTATTACTGATTAAAAATGGAAAAAAAATGTGGTGGTTTTAAGTTACTCTATCTAGATTGCACATTTTCTTAAATTCTCCAACTTGATTCTGCCAATGCATCTTTCTATCCCCAGGGAGACAAAGAAGCTGAATTAGGAATTCCATTTTCTCCACTTTGTGATCGGAATTCCACGATGGTCGCCCAGTCTCAAATAGGTAATCTTGAAGAAGAGTGGCCCTGAACTGTGGGTGGGGCTTGTCAGTGTTCAGATGTGTGTGCTGTGCTGCTGAAGGCTTCCAGGCCAACCTCACTCCTCACTCAAGATAAACGCTGGCCCTAGGCTGATGTAGATAATGGTGAATGAGAGTCAATGAAGTGTTTTCACAAAATGAGTTCAATAAAGCTGCCACTGCTGGTCAGGGTCAGGTGTGTCTAAGTTCTTGACATTTTAACCAAGGAACTAAAGCAAAACCCACACAGGGTTTAAGGAATAGCAAGGCAACCTAATTTAAAGAGATGCAATAAAAAAGATTCCCTGTGAGCACAGATCCTCAAGGAGCCGTGCACAGCCTGGAGTCTCTTTATGTGCTCTGGAGGAAGCTGGGGCCAGGATCTGAGGGTACACTGGTAGCAGTTCTGTTTGCATTGCTAGGTTAGATCACATGGCCATTTTCCTACCATGCAGATCCCTTCCACAGCTGCTTCTGATTAAATAGAAACTGTCCTAAGATTGACCGTTGTTAGGGGAGCGGAAACTTATCCCATCACCCACAAGGGGGTAGATGTAGCATGGCCCTGGTGGAGGCATCTGGTTGTTAGGTGAATTCTGTGGAGAGGGCTGTGTGGGCATAGAGCACACAAGGAGTGAGGTGGCCAAGTGCCATTGAGAAGGGGCCTGCATAACACAAAGCAGGCAGAGTCCCAGGCCACTGGACTGTCCCGTGTGCTCGCCTGCCTCAGAGCACTGCTAGTCAGCATCACTTGTTACTCTTGGTTGTGATCCTAGTAAGTAAGGGCTTTCTTCTTGTGTAAGGAATTGGGTCTTTTGTCATATTGCTGACTATTATTTTCTATAATTTAATCCTTTAGACAAAGCAGTTCAAGGAACATTAACCTTCCTGATGTGATTGCAAACTTTCTGTAATATGCTTGGTACAAATTCATGTTCTTTTCCAAGTCCCTGAGACATGAACAGATAAACCAGCAGAAGGAGATTTGTGCACTGATGCCGCGCCCAGCCACCTTTCTTCCTACCTGTATTTTGCAGGGACCTGCAGCTCGGGTCATTGTGGAAACATATGCTTACTAAGCTCCTGGTTCTCGTGTCTGACAGCACCCTGACAGCTAGCATCCTCCTTCCAGAGCCACGTGATGTCAGGATCAGCATCCCTCCTCTGCAGTCGGGCTCTGGTGCACGAATTGCAGAGCTGCAGGGCAGTGGGAAGGCTGCTGGCTCTAACCTTTCCTCTTCCCAGCCAACTTCCACCAACTGCCCAGGGAATAGAGCACAGGTGCTTATCACTGTTCAGAAACGTTTCATGCTGTGGACTCAGGACTTCCTCCATCAAGCGGGGAGTGACTGACTCCCAGTGGTGGTGGGTCTCATGCACATTCTTCTTTTGTTAGAAGAGGTGCTGACTCACACCACAATCTACCTGTGCCAGGGAGTCAAAACTCTGGTGAACGGCAAATTTTACTTTGCACTGAAGTGCCATTAAGATACACAATTATTGAAGGCATTTGTAAAATTTTAAACAGTGTCAAGCACCCAACACCTTGGTCACGCATGCAATGGATAATTTGCATGTATGTGTTTGTCACCTCCAGGTGCTCCTTTTCTTGTTATTCAGACGTTAGCCTCCATTCCCAGGTGGGTTCAAAGCAAGAAGCACCCATTGCTCGAGGGGTTACATTTCCTGAGCTAAGATACCTCACCATTGCACCCTCGGACAAAGCTCTGCTCTCTTCCTGTCACTCTCCGTCTTGATGCACACTTTAAAGTCACCCCTCAGTCCTGACATCGCCAAGTGGTGGGATTAGGGCTGTCTCCTGGAGACTGTAGCAGCTTTCTCTCTGCTGGTTTGACAGCCCCTGCCCACACTCAGAGAACTAACACCTTACATCCAGAGAATAATAAACAGCGATTTGAAATAATAATGGCACCGACAAAGTGCTCTGATGCAGCAAGGGGGAAAAAGATAAAATAAGAGTAATCGTCTTCCTGTGTTCCTCAGTTAGCTGGTTTCCTTAGAGCTTGGACACCATTTCTTTCTGGTACATCACATTCAAAAACCACAAGCAGAGTTAGGCCCGTTCCAAAGGGCAGTGACCGCCTCTCGTTGAGAAGAAAAGATATTCCTGGTCGTTGGAGCTGGCTGGAAGGTTGGGACAGCACAGAGGGTGGAATATCCAATAGAAAAGGCCTCGCGCCTGAGCTGGGAAGCGTAGCGGCCTCCATTGCTGCTGTCTCCAGTTTAGCCAGCTCTGTAGCGAGCACTGCCTTTGCACATGTGTCCCAGGGAGTCCTCGCAACGAGTTACCACGGGTTTCAGGAAACCGGGACACTTAAATGTATCTGTTTTTCTGTGTGTTTTGCTTTTTTTCAGGTTTCATTGATTTCATAGTGGAGCCAACATTTACTCTCCTGACAGACTCGACAGAGAAAATTATTATTCCTCTTATAGAGGAAGCCTCAAGATCAGAATCTTCTAACTGTGAGGCAAGCAGGTATAGATATAATTTGTTGTTGTTTTGCATATTTTTTGTCTTTAAGATTTTAAAGACAAAAATTTAGCCAGTAACTATCCTGTCCTCAAAGGCAGGCCTGCCTGCTGCTCTTACAGGCTTCCTGTTAGGTAGTATCGCCATCTAGTGGCTGTGTATTGCAACGCACTCCCTTTGCAAGTGATTGCTTTGAATGAGAAGAAGAAGGACGCGGATCCGTGTGGGAGGGGAGGAAAGGAGGAAATGGGAGGAGGGGCTAGAGGCCAAACGTAATCAGAATATACTGGATGAAAAAGAGCCTATTCAGTTACAAGAGAGAATGAGAGAGGGGGGTTGGAGAGAGAAGAGAGAGAGAATAAGTACCTGGAGTATGTTAAGGAGAGTCCCCGGGCCCTCGCCTTGTGGGAAACTGGATGGAGGAGGCAAGCACCAGTCACATCTGGGCCAGTGTGACTGTCCTCTTCTTCCTGTGGGTCTTGCAAAGCCGTCTTCTATGGCATCTTAACCTATTTGTTTCTTGATTTCTGTGGTTATCAATGGCAGCTCGTCCACCATGATTGGGTTCCATGTGGCCGATTCTCTGAGGCAGTCAAGTACGAAAAGCTTAGTGAGTGATGGGAGCTGTGCCCTAGACTACTCTCTGTCAGCTGTGGACCTGAAGCGCTTCAAAAGCAACCTGGTGGACATCATTAAGCAGAACAAAGAGAGGTGGAAAGCGTTGGCTAACCAAGGTACAGTTGGTGACGCTTCCGCCCAGGTTCTCTTTAACTCCCTAAGAACTTGGCCTCTGTTCCACTTGGTGTTCTTCTTTTCTAAAATGCACAGACTCTTGCTGGTATCTGAAATCTGATCATTCACAGGGAAGTTCACGTCACCGGAGCTGCGGCTGTGTGTGCTGGTGGCCACGCAGATGTCCATCATACGGGACAGTAACCTGATGGCAAACATCATGGGTTCTGTGGGATAGAACCTCTCCACTTTGCCGGGTGCCCCCAAGTTGCTTTAGCCCCAAGCAGGGTGACTAGCTCTTGGTGTGTCTACCTGCATGTCCGGCAGTTTAGTTAAGAATAAGAGCCTGGGTTTGGAAAGATGGCTCTCTGTGGAGAGCACTTGCTGCTCTCACCAAAGACCCAGGTTCTGTTCCCAGCACCCACCATAGGCAGCTCACCAAAGCCTGTAACTCCAAGTCTGGACGATTGCAGTACATATGTTTAAAAGGATAAGAGGTTCAGGAATTATCTTGTACCCAAGTGGAAAGCACTGTTAACACTGTTACTGACTTTAACAGTGCTGCAGATCTGTAAGGAGATGGAGCTGGGGAGGCCTGCTTTCCCATTTCCAGGAAGGACTGAATGCTAAACAGGAGAGGGCTGCTTTTAAGCAGGGACACTGGGAAACCTTCACTAAGAAAGCCATGGTGTAGACAAATACGAGCAGAGATAAGAAAGAGGACCCAGGGGTGAGCTGGCATGGAAAGTCCTATCTTTTCAGACAAGACACATGGAGTAGCCGCTGTACTAACTAGGAGGCGGGGCTTGCCTTTCACACAAGAAACAAAGAAGCCTGTAAAACGGGACAAGATGGGCAGGTGAGAATCCTGCGGGCACCCCAGGGCCACATCTTGTCCAGGAAAGCCAAACCTTCTAACCCTTCCCAAACAGCTCTCCCAACTAGGGACCAATCATATAACCTAGGAGGCCGTTCTCAATCCAAACCACCGCAGGTGGCATTTCCTGTATCACGTAGTGACGTGGACTCTTTGAAAACAGTAAGAGTGTGGGTGAAGTTTGTATTCTGCTACCTTGCTGGATGTGTTTTTTTAGAGGTAGGAGGTTTTGGTGGAGTTTTAAGATCCTTAATGTGTAAAATCATATAGACTTCCCCCCTTTTCTGATTGTGCCTTCTTTATCTTGTGTCTAATGGCTCTAGCTAAGATTATATTTAAAAGGATCAGAGAAAGTAGAAATCCTTGTCTTATTTCTGACATATTTCAAGATTTTCTTCATTTAGCATAATGTTGGCTGGTAGCTTATGGTATATTACCTGTATTATCCCAAGATATATTCCCTGTACCCCTAGAACACCCAGGATTTCCACAATGAAAGGTTATTGGAAACACCGCAAGTCCTTTTCTTCATGCAGGGTGATGATCATGTGGTTTTTGCCTTATAGTCTATTAACATGGTAGATGATATTTAATGATTTATACATATTGAAATATCCATACATCTCTGAGATGAACTCATCTTGACTGTGATAAAGGGTATTTTTGGTGTGTTCTTGAATTTGGTTTTAATGTTTTTTATTGAGATTTTTTTGCATCCTTGTTCATTGAGAATATTGATCTATACTTTTTATGTGTGTCTTTGTCTGGGTTAGGTATCAGTGTACTGCTGGTTTCATAAAAAGAAGTTAGAAGCACTTCTTTTTTTCTTTTATAGGATAGTTTGAGAATCAGAGGTTTTGTTCTTCTTTAGCAGAGCCCCCACACAAATGAATTGGCATCACTCAGTATAATGTATGTCTCTATTTGCTAAACGGCCTTTCAAAACCTACCGATTGATGTCAAAAGGAAAGTTAAATGCATGGGACATTCCCTAAAGTTTTTTTTCTATATCTGAATTTGCTGTTTTTTGACACTTTGAAGATATTTATTTACCCTAAGTTTATATTATGAATATTAATAATAGCTGCAAGACTTTATAGTAGTTTCTGTGGCCTCAGAAAACTGTTGGGTTAGAATGTACTGAACAGACAAGGTGGTAATGAGGAAGAGGTAGATGGGTTAGGTGCCGCAGTGCTGGCCGGAGATTAGGGAAGCCATACCACAGTGACTAGACCATTCACAGTACATTGGAAGGTTTGTCCACTTAGTACCTTAGAGAACATCTCACACACACACACACACACACACACACACACACATACACACACACGTATATGTGTATGTGTGTATGAATGTATACACATGTATGTTTATGTTTGAGTGTGTATATACACACTCATGCGCTCTCATTTCTGCTCTCTTTAAGAAACCTTTAGACTTACACTCATTCTCTGTTTTTTTTTCCCTCCCCACTCTCTAACATTCTTTATTGATCAGAACAATCTAGTTATGGCCTCAATTTTGATTCCTCTAACAAAACAAAACTCTGCTTCCAACAAGGCCTTGCTACCATTCAGCAGTGATTTATGGGTGGGTTAGAGTAGGGTTTGGCCAGTTATTGAAATGCTTTCAGTGGCTTGATCCATGTCATGACCTCGCGAGCCGGTGCCTTCTCAAACCCACATGTGCAGTCAGCCCATCCTTTCGGCGGATGCTTAATATCCAAATGTTCACTAATTAAACCCATTCCCCTTCATCTCCAGGAAACAGGCTCCAATACCATAAAGCACACCGGAGCACACCTAGCTCCTGCTCTTTTACGTACTACAGTTCATGCTAGGGGCGTTTTAAATTACTGTCTGTCAGGCGTTCTAAATTACTGTTCGTGTCTATGTGTGTCTATGTTCGCCTGTGCACTGCATGTCTGCCTGGGAGTTCTGGAGGCCAGAGAGGGCCTCAGATCCTCTGAAACTGGAATTACAGACAATTATCAGCCACCATGTGGGTGCAAGAAATTGAACCCAGATCATTTAAAAGAGTGACCAGTGCCTGTAAAAACAGAGCCATCACTCTATCCCCTCATTATACATTTTAATATGTAAGTTAGGCAAAATGAATAATTGAAAACATTATGATAAGCACATGCTAAAACAGCTCTGTAACAACACAGCTTAATGAAAAATCAATCAATCAATCAATCAATCAATCAATCAATCCACCTCTTTCCCAAAAGTATCTTACTGAAAGACGTGTTGAAACCCATATAGCAGCAACAGTTCCCATAGGCTTTGGATTGCTTTGAGGAAGTTAGGCTTGTTTGTTTAGGTTGTTTGTGCTATTAAGTAGGATTAGTGGGAAAAGGCATTTTTGCATAATAAATAACATGTTCTTACTCATCTCATTTTTAAGGTGAGTCTCACACCGAATATTATCTCTTTATATAATTTTATATCTAAGTACATGTATATAAGACTAATTCCTTCATGAAAACCTTTCATTCAGAGGGTACCAACTTGAACCAAAGTTGATTAAAATTATTTTTTTCCAAATCATCTAGAGACCAGCACTGACAAATATGAGAGTCATGAACAATCCCGATACCAAAAGCGAAATATGTTGGAAATTAAGAAAATACTGATTGTATTGGTTTTTACAAGTTTACTGCAGTAGTTTATACAAACATGACTAGTCTAAAACTAATCATAGGTTGGTTTTTTTCCCATAATTTCTTCACACTTTCTCTAGATCGTTAAAAAACGAGAACCCTTCTTCAGAACACAAACTAGGTCTACAGGAGCAGCTTAAGTTTTATCTTCAGTAACTACCTGTAGGTAAAACGGAGCTCCTGTGCCGACAGCTCTGATTTGATCAAAAGGTTTGGCAATTTCATTAGTCTTCCCAGATGTCTACCAGGGCCTGAGTGAGAAAGGGAATCCATTTTTCTTGCAGATTGCTAAGTTGACCTCAGGAACCTCAGACACCGCAGTTGCAGATTTCTTGGCTGAGCCGGCTTGGCTGGAGTGGAACAGGCCTGCCGACGGTCACTGCACTGTCACCTTAGTTCACATGTTGGTGCGGGTGGTATTCTGTGGCGCCTCTTCTTGATGAGCAGCTTAGCAGTAATTTTGTCATGTCTTCTGTAAGGCTGCCAGGATGATTTTCGCTCCAAAGGTGTGTTTTCTGAAATTTCTGAAAGGAAAGCATGAATTTTAGAAATTTATCTTTTATGTAAATTTTAACCTTTTTTTTTCCTCTCTGAAAAATGCTTTAGTGATTTCTACCATTGAAAAGATTCATAGAGTCACAAGATAAAAATTCAGGGGGAAAACGAATATACCTGTAGTTTCTTTCCAAATGAAGCTGAGTTCATACATCTTCAAAGGGAGATGGAGAAACCCATCAATGGTCTGATAATGCAGCTTTATCACAGTGTCATTCCTTTGTTGTTGTTGTTTGAGACAGGATCTTTCTGTGCAGTACTGGCTGTCCTAGAACTGTCTGTAGACCAGGCTGACCTCGAACTCACAGATACCCTTTTATCTCTGCCTCCCCAGTGCTGGCATTCAGCACCACCTCCCTGCTCACAATGCCATTTCTGAAACTTAATTCAGCTAGGCGTAGTGTCTCATGCCTGTAAGGCAGCACTTGAAGCACAGAAAGGCAGGACTCTTTGAGGCCAACCTGCTCCACAAAGCACATTCCAGGAAAACCAGGACCGTGCAGTGTGACCCTGTCCCTGAAACAGAAATTGCCGAGGCTAGGCTGAACCGTGAACACTGCAGGCCTGTCTTTCCAGCTACTCTGGAGCTGAGGCAAGAGAGCCCAGCTTGGCCTCCAAAACACAGGCAAGGTCAGCCTGAAGAGAGCAGCACAACTCTGTCAGCACACAGTCAGCAGCGGGACACTTGGCTAGTGTATAGCAACCTCTCAATTCAGGGCCCTGTGTGATAACAACAAAATAACAAAGTCAGAATGATGAGCTGGGCCCTTTCTCAAGCTGAAAACTGGTGAGATGTGCTTTTCGGGGTTGGGGAAAAGGAGCATGCATTAATTTTGTATTGATGTCTACAATATTCTGTGAAGGTAATGAGACATACTGGCCACAGGTCACCGAGTGAGGTCAGC